TTGTGTGTGTGTGTGTGTGTGTGTGTGTGTGTGTGTGTGTGTGTGTTTGCGGGCGCGCGCTCGCGCGTGTGTATTTGTGCAGAAAAGAAAGGTGTTAAAGGAGTGGAGGGGGATCGGGGTGGTTGAACCTTTACACACAGACAATTTTTAAAAATGTATTTTGCTGTCAAAGTTTATAGTCTTCAAAAACATCGACTCACTTCTGCACACATAAGTCTCTATTGTATTTTAGCAACACACACACAAAGCTAAAGAATAAACGTCTAATTACCTCGTTGGAGCTGTGTCAGCGTGGAATTGGCCAAAATTCTCGGCCAACGACGAACATTGGAAATTATTAACGTAACATTTTGGCCGTCCACAGAATGTTGCCTCCGTCAGAGGTCAGTACATCCAGCGCGCGGCGGCAGAATGTGCCAGAGGTTAGAACAATCCAGAGCACTCTCTCTATCAGGCTGTACTTTTTTCAAAGGTCAGTTTTCAGCACTGGTGTGGGAATCCGACCAATAATTATATTTCCGCACATCTCGGGTAGACAGTAACACATTTACACTGAGTGGAGTTAAAATCAACCGTAAAGGTGCGTTCTTTCTACGAGTAGTAAAAACTATCACAAGTTGTTTCCACAGTTCTGGAAATCAAAGGGTCGTGACGTAAACGTCGTGATAATGAGTCGCTATTTTGTTCCAAAAACTTTATTTCATTCCTATTGGGAAAAAATACAGATAGGGTTCGACAAAATCGAAAAAAAAACCCACTATGTCATGACGGGTGGAAAACAAAAACAACAAAACACAAAAAACAAAACAAAAAACCCAACCCTCTTTATACAAAAGAGTTTTTTTTTAAAAATTACCTCTCAAGCGGTGAAATGCGAATTCATCCCTTTTAACTCTATTGTATAGCCTTTTTTCTGATCCCAGTGACAGTATCCTCGGACACGAATGATTGGTAGATAAAGAAAACTACGCAAACTAGATCACTGCTTCTCTCAGACGAACACAGACAATAACTCGTTGACATTTTCGTCGAAGCAAATTTCAACACACTCAGAAACTCAAAATCTTCAAGAACGCAAAAATTCTTTATACTTACAAGTGTGAAACACTTAGACCAAGGGGATTCACAATACAATTTTTTTAAATCAACAAAAACAATAATAACAACCCGTGAACTGTCATTGAATAAGAAACACCCCGTGAAAAAAATGAACAAAGTTATTGACGTCAAGTTCGACAAGTTTTCTAGAATCCTTCAGTCGACTACAACATTCCAGCAGAGAGAATTGCTTTATTATCGATGTCAGTTTGCGGTTGTTGAATTCCAAACTGCCGTACCTCTCTCCAGGAGCGAGCCTTCTATAACTCTATAGTATGAGAGTACCCGCTCACAGCTGTGCGTCTGTCACCACGCACGTTCGACGCCGTGTGTCGGAGCGCGTGCTCATGACAATGAAAATGCAAGGCTACACTTTCGCTCACGCTCTCGCTGGCAAGGGAGAGAACGCTTGTAGTCGGCCCCTCTCAGACGTACAAGTTAGCTCCTCTTTGGCTGTTTGGGGACGTGGAGGTGATGGAGAGGTGCCGTGCTCGTCTTAGACACGCAAGACAATTAGAGTTTGGATCTTGGATCTTTCCTCCTCTAATTAGTCGTAATCTATCTTATCTCTCTCTTTTTCCCCTCCCCACCCCCCTCTCTCTCTCCCTCCCTCCCCTCTCTCTCTCTCTCTCTCTCTCTCTCTCTCTCTCTCTCTCTCTCTCTCTCTCTCTATCTCTGTCTCTTCCAACTTTAACCTCTGATGCGTGCTTTAAGTAGATGTTACTCTTTTAGAGAGTAAAACTGTACGAATAACTCCAGAAACCCTTTTTCAAGTATTCACACCGCAGCCATGAACCGTCAGTATAACATATTTCCCTCAGCAATATAGAACAACTTTCTTCGCATACAGATAACACGGGAGTAAGGTTTATCAAAACACGGTGACAGAACAGAACTAAACTACATTTATTACAGTCCGCGAGTGGCTGCATGAATAGGTCACTCGGTGTAGCAAGTTAAATTATTTGCAGTTTGTAACGTGGGAAGATGTTCTATAAAATAAATAGCTACCCTGTTGCTCCTGACGTAACACCGTAAAGGCAGCGAGTCTTTCATAAAAGTCTGTTAAACATAAGCATCGCTTGTGTTCTAGGGTACTGTGTGATACTGTTAGCGTGGGTTGTTGTTTTCTTTCCCTGAAATAGATAAATTCGTAATATTTGTGATATCTTTGCACTTTCCGCAGCCAGTCAAATCAAAACATGCTCGCTTGTACACCCACGTGACCTGACCCCTCCCGCTCACACACACGAACAGAGAACAAACAGGCAGAAAGACACGCTGATCTGCTAATTCCAATCTCTATCCCTGACCGAGCCCCTGAAAATTAGTAGATTCCAAACTTTGTACAACATCATTAACTAACCAGATTAAAAATAATTGTATAGATTTTTTAAAAACTTATATCATACACACATATAC